AGACATATGAAGAATACGGGAGATTGTTGTCACGTGTAGCACACAGCCAGTGCTTGCCAGATATTCCTGCTGCTCCTTTAATGTTGCTGTAAGCCTCTTGGCAGCCTCCTAGACCGGTTTTTTTTTTTTTTTTTCTTCTCGTCTTTTCATCAATTTTGGAGGGACGTCCAGTTCTTGGTAAGGTCACTGTTGCGCCATGTTTTCTCCACTTGATGACTGTTTTCACTTCCATGGTATATCTAATGCCTTGTAGATTCTTTTGTACCCTTCTCCTGACTGATACTTTTTAACAATGAGATCCCTCTGATGCTTTGGAAGCTCTCTGCAGACCATGGCTTTTGCTGTAGGATGCGACTAAGAAAATGTCAGGAAAGACCTACTAGAACAGCTGAATAAGTGCACACTTATGCAACCACATTATTTTAGTTTGTTTACTCCTCCCCACAAAAGATTTCTGTTTTTTTTTTTTGTAATTGAGTTGTACAGTTTATAGGTCACATTAAAGGTGGAAAAAGTTCTGAAATGATTTCTTTGTCTCATTCTTTTACATCACAGAAACCTGACATTTTAACAAGGGTGTGTAGACTTTTTATATCCACTGTGTGGACTGTTTGTGTGTGTGTGTGTGTGTGTGTGTGTGTGTGTGTGTGTGTGTGTGTATGTATATATATTTAATTTTTTTTTTTTTTACCATTACTGTATTATGTTTGACTTTTTAATTTTAAGATCTTAAATTTAGATGAATATAAATTTTTAAAAATACAATCCAGTAATGTAAAATAACATTTATTGAAAGCAACACTCACAATTTAGACAGAAAATAAAATGAAAAACATACAGTGCCTTGAAAGTATTCGTACCCCTTGAAATTTTCCACATTTTGTCATATTACAACCAAAAACGTAAATGTATTTTATTGGGATTTTGTGATAGACCAGCACAAAGTGGCACATAATTGTCAAGTGTTAGAAAATGATTACCGTATTTGCTGGCATATAAGACGACTGGGCGTATAAGACGACCCCCAACATTTCCACTCAAAATATAGAGTTTGTTATATACTCGCCGTATAAGACTACCCCCTCTTCCGCACACCTTCCACACACCAAATAAAACGTAAAAGAACATCAGATTTGATTTCAACATCTTAATTTATATTCGCAGTATACCCCTGTGTGCATTTATTGTTACCGGTTTCACATGAGTGCCATTAGTATTAGTGCCACTACAGTACCTGTCATTGTCACCATTGTACGCGACCGCAGCGCCTCCGGCCAGTCCCTGCATCTCCCTGTAATTGGCACTAGTGCGCATGTGCGAGCTCTGCATAGACAAGGGGCGGGCCGGAGCGCCGCTGCTTCCCGCCGAGCAGAAAAGGCTGGCACCCCTGTATCGCTGCTGATGCTCGCCGCAGCCACGCTGATGACCCGCTGCGGCCGCACTGGATGATATGTAGAATGAGGTGGGCGGGCGGGCATCGGGAGGCCACTATGGCAGCTATATCTATCCCAACTGAAGTGCACCCGGCGTATAAGACGACCCCCCACTTGGAGGCATGTTTTTCAGGGCAAAAAAGTCGTCTTATACGCCGGCAAATACGGTACTTGTTTTAAAAATTGTTTACAAATATCTGAAAAGTGTGGCATGCATTTGTATTCAGCCCCCTTTTATGCAGATACCCTGAACTAAAATCTAGTGGAACCAATTGCCTTCAGAGGTCACCTATTTAGTAGGTCCACCTGTGTGTAATTCTCAATTTAATCTCCATATAAATACTGCTGTTCTGTGAAGCCCTTGGAGGTTTGTTAGAGAACGTTAGTGAACAAACAGCATCGTGAAGGCCAAGGAACACACCAGACAGGTCAGAGATAAAGTTGTGGAGATGTTTAAAGCCGGGTTAGGTATAAAAAATATCCCAAGCTTTGAACATCTCACAGAGCACTGTTCAATCCATCATCTGAAAATGGAAAGAGTATGGCACAACTGCAAACCTATTAAGACATGGCCGTCCACCTAAACTGACAGAGAAACTATTCTACATTCCTTACTTTCCAGCTTCTCTGCTCCTCCCCTGAAAGAAGCCCAATTTGTGGGCTGTGCTGACTTTGAGCTTAAGTAGAGATCACTTGTCACTGCCCTGTCAGGAGTACTATCAGGTCCACTCTTCTACCCCCTCTGTCTTTTCAAGCAGGCGGCCGTGCCACACAGCATCATTGGTTGTCGGGATGCAGGTGGGCGAAACAGGCAGCTTCATAGGTTATTAGGGTTCAAACAGCTGAACCACTTGTACCATGGAACCACATGACACCGTGCAGCCTGGCCATCTGCATGCTAGAAAGCATTGATGCTGTAAGGCCTGGTCGCCTGCGTACTAGCAACCAATAATACTGTAAGGCCAGCCACCAGTCATGCTGTGCAGCCCAGCCTTCTGCATCCTAGCAACCAATGATGCTAGATGCGTGGTCACAGTGATGAATGAAGAGGGGTGTGCTGTTAACCAGATATCTTAGGAACAACACCATGTAGAAAGTGCTATATGCACCCTGTCACTGGTTGGACAGGAACAAGCTTTTAAATGCTTGGTCACTTTTTTTAATGTGAAGACCCTCAAATGAGTCTTTTTGTATTAATATATTTAGTGAAATTAAAGAACCTGGTTGTAAAGCAGAAGTGTGATCTTTACACAGCCATATTTAATGTTTTAAGCACTTGAGCTGCGGAAGATTTAATCCCCTTCATGACCAGGCCACTCATTACCCGTATCAATGGCACCTGTTTGAACTTGTTATCAGTATAAAAGTTACCTGTCCACAACCTCAAACAGTCACTCCAAACTCCACTATGGTGAGGACCGAAGAGCTGCCGAAGGACACCAGAAACAAAATTGTAGACCTGTACCAGGCTGGGAAGACTGAATCTGCAATAGGCAAGCAGCTTGGTGTGAACAAATCAACTGTGGGAGCAATAATTAGAAAATGGAAGACATACAAGACCACTGATAATCTGTATTTCTGCACCTGTATTTCCACCCATAGTTTCTATTTAATAGTTTTGCTAATTGATGTTGGTTTATCATGATTTCCCATCATTGTTGACCATTGGTGAGGATTTATATTTTCATGAAACTTGAGGACAAGAGGGGCTTTTAACTTTTTTGGTTTGGACTTCCTGTTGCGTGGAGCCAGTCATCTCTCGGGTAGCTGTCCTGGAAATACAATTACTGTGATTTTGATGCTCCCCAAGTCACTTTTTTTCCTGCAGTTAGATTTTGCTTTAGTCACATTTACATGTCTTTTACATGCATTTAGCTGTGTATAGTGTCTAATCAGGTCCTGGACAAACCAAATTCTATTTTCTCTAAACAAAGGCAGGTAAACACACACTTTGACACCATTGAAAAATCTTTCCATGCAATAATAGGTGTTAAGAAATGTCCTCCGCATATAAATGCAAGTTTGACAGTTTAGTAGGAACGGAATAGGATAGTAGGAAATATAAACCACCGGTGAAGTGGGTGTATAAGTTGCAGGGACCTTTTTTTGGCTAAATCTTTTATCTTAATTGTACAGGACACAGACCTTGTACTCATAATTCGTGTGATATATGCTGGCTATCTTCAGGTGATTGCACACTTCCTAGGGCCACCCCTAGAGCATATTCTATACCCCACCTTTTCAGTGAGACCAAACATTTTGCTAGTGTCCTTTGTTGATGGACCTCTTCTGGATATATATTTTACTTTTTAAACAATTTTAAACAACCTTGAGGAAGTCACATGACTGGAGATGAAATGCGTCAGCAGCAGAGTCTGTGACTTCATCACACTGGACAGGAAGTGATGTGCTACAGCCTCGTATAGTGCGATTCTGATATCTTGATATTTTTTAAGGGGGCAATGTGATTAAACCCTAGCAAGCTGTGTATCTATGTGAACAGAATTTAGTGCACTACAAAATGTGAGTATTCTTTAGTATTTTAAATAAAATTTGAGGTTTTTAAATGGTAAAGCACTCTGATGGCCTTTTTATAATCTTCTGTGAGTTAAATCTGAAAGCTGAAGAGTGGTGATCCCTTAACTGATTTTCCATGTGTGGTGGAGTGTTGGAGAATCTGGAGATAATTAAAGGATAAGTTCACCTTTCATAACATGTTACATGTTACACCCATGCTCAGGTTGCAGCATGTTATGAAAGGACCTAGCCCCTGATCCCCTCATTGTGACAGCTAGCAGGGGATCTCTTCCCCCCGCTAGCTGTCACAATTTTTTAATAAACCATGCCTGTGCGGTGCCCAGCCGCGTCACTCATTTTCATCACTCGAGTTTCGTCAGCCTTTGTGGCGGTCGGCTTGTAGTTCTGAGTGAACTACCACAGTGCTGTTGAGCGCTGTGGTAGTTCATTGATTTTTCCTGTCCGTGTAAAATTGCTTGCTCATACAATGAAGGATGACATTTGTTTGCTATTTTGTTGCCCACCCCTCAGTTTATTGCTAGGTATGTCCTATGGTCTATCAACACAAGTCCTGCATTCTGTAATTAAAAAATATAGCAATTTTGATTTGCCTGTAAATCGTATTTTGGTGTACAGGACACAGGCCCCTCTTCTCTGTGTTGTGCTTATACTTTACTGCTTGCTGACAAACTGGAGCCTCATGGCCTAGGTGGGGTTATATGAGTACACTGTAGGGGTGCTATGAGTACAAGTCCTGGGTCTTGTACTGTACTCAAAAATGGGGAAATCACAGGTATGTCAAAATTCTTATATTTTTAATTTGATAAGGTCATGTTAAGAGAAACAGTGATTGCTTGCTAGAAAGGAAAATATTTTGATTGTGAGACCTCAAATTTATGTCTTATTTAGAGTCCTCATCCTTACCTCTACCATACCTTTTCACATTTATATTAGAAAGTTTCACTGTTCTTAAAAATTTGGTTAGCATGCTAGACAACTTAAAATAGTGACGTACCAGTGTTTTAATAATCATTTATAATGTCCCTTTAGGCAGTGGTCAGCAGTCAGTGACTGGAGTTACTGCTGCAGATGATGGCAATAGTTACTGGAGAATCCGTGGAAAAACCTCCACAGTTTGTGAGAGAGGAAGACTAATAAAATGTGGACAGTCTATCCGTCTTACACATGTCAATACTGGGCGCAACCTCCACAGTCATCACTTCACCTCTCCATTGTCAGGAAACCAGGTAAGCTGCATTAATGTCTGATATAGAGGTTGATTGGCTATATTATTTGTTTATCCCTAGCTTAAGTTTATCTATACTACTTAGAATTTCAGATCTCCCTTTAAAGGAAAAGTTCACCTTTTGACTAAAAATAATAAATGCCCATTTTTTTTTTTTTTGCAGGTAACAAAATGTGCATTTATTATTTTTGGTTGCAGGAGTCTGTAAACATTGCACCACCAATCAGCATTTCACTGGTGCCATACGGGTCTCCTGCAGACCTGTCAGTATATCTGCCTGCTTTTACAATGACTCAATGCACTACCGTGGCTCTTCACAGCGCCGCGGTAGTTCATTCAGAACTAAAAGCCAACAAGTGCTATGGCTGTCGGGACTTGTAGTTAATTCATTTACAGTACGCTGCGAATGAATGATGCTGCTGTTTTTAAAAAGCAACAGCTAATACAGGGAACTTCTCCTCATGATTCTGTCACAAGGAAGTGGTGGTGGGGGGATCGGGCTGTGGCTGCAGCTTTGGGAACATGTTCCACCCTAAAAATGGATGTAACATGTTCCCAAAGGTGAACTTCTCCTTTAAATGATACTTCCAAAATTGTATAAACTATTTCATTAAGTATATAGCAGGCTGAAAATCGATGTAATTGAACCATTTTTGCCTATAAGAAGGGGTGGGGCTCCCTCCAGGCATACATGCCCTTGATCGATCTATCTATTATATATGTGCTCCTACTATGGAGGCTCTCAAAATTTAAAGAGGTAGGACTGCAGTACACTGGGATGCCATGAATGGCCTCTGCAACGTATGCATATATTTGCAAATGTGTGCAAACTAAACCCCTGGTTTTAATGTGGTTTGTTAGACAGGACAGCTTAGTTGGTTGCAGTCTGGCTGGTAAATGAGCCTGGAATTTTTCTTTGTCATTGTTTAAGTATTATTATGGATATAACTGTCTTGTTAAGTAAAGTTATTTTAAAAAATGGCTATGATTCATGGTAAATTGAGACTGTTACTTTGTGCGTTAACCCTGGTTATGTATTTACTATTCACATAAAGAATTCTTATGAAATGTGAGTCTTTCAAGGTACCATCCTATTTTATTGTAAAAGTAGAATACAGGAAGAAAAATATAGTTTTATATTCTCCTTAGTTTGAAATAAAGAATATATTTGAATGTGGAAGGTTTTGAAAAGCATTGAAAGGGTTCTATCATAATGGAGGCTATGGGTGACTTAATAAACAACTACTTAGCATTTGGCTTCCCTCTTCCTCTCTCAGCCTGGAAGTGTTTACCTTTCAGTTAAAGAACACACATAATGTGCACAGTACCCCCAGAGGCTGAAGAATGACTGACTGGTCTGTACAGGCTAAACCGGGAAGCAGAGAGCCAATAAACTCCATGCTCCGTTTCTTTTCCTCTCTGCATGTCTCTGTAAAGATGACAATGGGGTACAAGGGTGGGATATGCAGTGGCAGAGTTCCCGGGTGCAAGGAGAGAGCTTGCTGGCAGAGAGGTGCAGATTTTGGATAGTTGTAATACAGTGCAAGGGGTGTTGGGAGGTTTAACGTCGGCGGTGCTGAGTGTCAGGGAGGCTCAGAGTCAGAAATGCAGGGGGTGCTGGGTGGCAGGAAGTTGCGATGTCAGGGTGCAGAATGCCAAGAGTACTGGGTTATTCATAATATCATATTGGTTATGGGAGAATTCCTGTGCTGTGGGCTGACTGCTGGTATTTGTGCTGTCACTAATTGCCACATCTACCCGGGGTGGGGTGTGGGGGGGGGGTGTAGATTTTAAAGGATAACCTGCACCAGAACCTAGCAAATGCACAGTAGTGAAGTTAATATTGTGTTACCACTACACGTGGGCGGTAGCATCAACATTTAAAGTGTTACTAAACTCACAACAGTAAAATCAGTCTGTATATGCAGTACAGCATGCTTGTTATACTAACTGTAGAGCCTAAGGGGTTAATCCTCTGCATTGTGTAAAAAGGCTGTTTGATCCTGACTTTTCTGCCCCTCCCCTTGTTCAAATGTCCACCCTGATAAGACAGACTGCACCTGAAGCCCTTCTGCACATGCTCAGTTTAGTGTGTATGGCTAGAGAGGTTTTTGTTCTCTTGTGAGAGTGCATGTGATCAGCACTGTCCAGACAGAGGTCAGGGGTTTTGCATCCTCCTAGAGCTGAAAGACAACTCCTACAAGTTTTAACCAGTGCTCAGCTGAAGTCACAAGACTGCACTAACTGCTGATGAGAAAAGGTATTTAGCAGTTTATATTTACTATAATAATTGCATTTCCATGTTCTGTGTACAGTGGGAGACAAGATATAGTGAATACAGGGTCCTGGGTTTAGTAACACTTTTTAAACGTAGACGTCACAGGGACCGGAACACAGAAGCCGGATGCCGGCATCGGCCGGAGGAGATGGCTGGGGACGCTGCAGGGGACACATCGCAGGAGCGAAGGAAAAGGTAAGTGCTGCAGGGACCCCCTGAGCAACGCCGCATGGTAAGCCCGAGTGTAGCTCGGGGTTACCGCTCTTGGTATAGAAATTTTACCCCGAGCTACACTCGGGATTACCGCTAAGGAGGTTAATAAAACTGACCACAAGTCAGATTTTAAGAAAGCCCTGCTGTCTAGACTACCTTTTTCCCAGGGAAGGTGATCCCCCCCCCCCCCCCCCCCCCCCCCCCCCCCCCCCCCCCCCCCCCCACCTGAGCTATCCCCACAGTGTATACGAGCGTTACTAGAGAACATTACTTTCTGCCAGCAAGATGCATATACAGCATCAGTAAATTATTACGGTTGTGTGCAAGAGGCCTTGGAGGGTTCTTCATGTTGATTATTCTGCTAAATGTGTGTTCCTTTCTCTGCAGGAAGTCAGTGCATTTGGAGAGGATGGAGAAGGAGACATCTTAGATGACTGGACTATACTATGCAATGGAGAATACTGGCAGCGGGATGAAGAGGTGCGGTTTAAAACACGTGTCAACCAACGTATTGCTGTCTGTCACAGGGGAACAGTATGGTCGTCCTATAAATGGTCAGAGAGAAGTGCATGGCATGATGTATGCAAGTCAGCACAACTACTGGAAAGTAATGGAAGGCATCTTCATGAAACCGAGTGAGCCTCCAAGGACAGACTACATACACTCTGAGTTATGACAGCCCCAACAAAGACTTTCTAAAGTCCTCCAGTCCTCTTTCCTAACCGCACAGTGTTGATCTCTGTAGAGGTTTTTTAGAAAATCTGTAAAGCTCAGAGATTTTAGCAATGAATTCAGGGGCACTGTTTGAATGGTGCAGCCTTATGTCGGTATTGTTATTATATGATATTTTATTGTTAGGGCAGCATGGGGCTGTGCTGTTTCATAGTATGGCCATACATCAGCAGAACAAATTATTCAAATTCTTGGAAGTAAGTGGATTTAAATACAAAGGGTTAAAATTGTGATTCCGTTTGTTATTGCCAGTTAGGCAACTTTTGTTATTGCCTTACTGAGTTCCTGTATTATGTTTTTACTGACAGACAACTTTAAAATATGGCAAGTTCATAGTAATGCCAAAGGCTACCAATTGTTGTTGTGTTTTTTTTTCCCAATTTATTTTCTTCTTTCATAGCTATTAATAATAATAATGTACTGTATGTACCTTCGCCGTATTCCCTGGTGCTGTACAAAGTAAGGGCTTGTGTATGCTTTGGCATTTAAAGTCTCTGCCAAGGCAAAAATTAAAAAAAAAAAAAAAAAAAAATCTTTACTACATTCCTGAAATTCATCCCCCTTATGTTGTGTTGCAGAAAAAAAAACTGTTGATGTGCCAGAAATACTGTGCTTCTACCTTTTTTGTCTTTGAAGTGACAACACAGCTTTGAATTCCTAAGTACATGCTGTCAGCCCTGTCTACTTCATTTCTAATGCATTAAAAAGGACACAGACCTCCTCCCATCTCAGTATAAGAGAGTAAATGATAGAACAAATTTCATATTTGTTAGGGTTTATATATACTTTAGGTGTCCTATCGCACCTGGGCTGAAAGCCTGCTAACAGGTTGATGGCACTCACATTACGTTTTTCTTTTTGTTTTACCTTGTGATCCTACCAGTAACACATTTTCTGTCTTAAGGTATCTCCACACCACTGGATGGAGGAGCAACAGAAATACCTTTTGGACAATAGCATTTTCAATCAGGGGAGAAGGTAGTGTTAGACTAACTAGTAGATTTAGATGGACATGACTAACAAATTAAAGCCAAACTCCAGCTAACACTTTTAAAGCAGTTACAGCAACAATTTTTATAATATTCTGTTTATTACAATACTGATAATAAACCATGGATTACGGTGACTTTGCTAGCGTTTATTTGGAGTGTACCCATATAAATCCTGTATAATAATAATCCCATCCACTTAGTGAGGCTTGTGCTGCCTAGCAGTTTCCAGATTGGTTACCATTGGTGTGTACTTTGGGGACTGTACTTATATCCCACTCTGTAGGACCGGCCTATAATTTTTTGCTTCGGGCACTGGATCCTGCGTTAGGTGGCCATCTTGAAACAAAGTTCGACATGAAGTTAGGTTGCTAGACAAGCCCAGTGCCATGGTCCATTTCTATGGTTCCCAGACTCTGAAGACCCTTTTGGGGGTTTGCCCAACATTACAGGTGAGGACTGATTCCTTATTCTAGGCCAGCAGCATTTATAGGGTAAGACAGGGTTTCCCTGTACATGGACGTAAGTTCCTAGCTGTGCAACAACCCTGTCTGCTGGTCATAACACATTATGTGGTTTAGTGGGCAGAGAACTGAATGTTGTTCATTTTTTTTGGCACCCCGGCCATTTTATCTATAATGCTTCAGCAAACTTTTTTTTTTTTTTTGACCGTTTTTCCCCTCCTGCTTGAACTTCAACTAAGAAGGGTGAGGTAGCTGCATCATGCCTACCAAATGACGTGTTTCCATCCTCTTATACCAAAAATGCATACAGTATGTTGCTGAATTCCAGCAGCTGTCTTCTACAGAGACACAGCCATAGGAACTCGGTCAGCTCCTGGGTTATAGCAACTCCTTCTCTGGACACACAAAACACCATCTGTTCTGCACTCCAAAACCATGGGATCCCCACAGAAGCAATTGTTTAGCACAAGTGCAAGGAAGCTGAGACAAAAGGATCTTAATGCACTGCACTCTCTAGACACAGTGCAGCTTGGATTTGAGCCTGCATGAGTTCCCCCCCATAGCACGTTTGCGTTTCAGCAGTGGGGAAACCCAGAAGTGGAGGATCTGGGCTGCTCTGTACAAAAACCTTGCATAGAGCTGATAAGTATAACATGTTTGTTGTTTAAAAGAAAAATTACTTGAACCATTACAATCCCTAGGGGTGGCTAGGAGTATTGTTTAACATAATTAACCTAGTCTGTACTGTGCTGACAGATCTGTTACTAATAGTAAACTAGATTTGTACCCTAGCTTAACAAAAGGTTAAAGATCTCAAGGCTTGGGTGCTGCATTGTATGGTAATGCACTGTATTCCCATTAACACCCCAACCCCAATTATAAGGGAAACATTAAGTGAAAAAGGTAAACTAATGCAAACACAACACCTAAGGACTGGTAAACTGCAGTATGTTTGTTCTTTGGGTTTAGAGATGAATTTATAAATTACCTGCATGTGAACACCATCACCTACCCTTTAACTCTCCTGGCGGTATTCCTGAGTGTAGCTCGGGGTTAACTTTCAGTACCAGAAGCAGTAACCTTGAGCTACACTCGGGATTACTCTGCAGCGTTGCTCAGGGATCCCTCCAGCACTTACTTTGTCCTGCGCTCCCGCAGTGTCCCCCCTGCAGCGTCCCCGGCCATCTCCTCTGGCCGACGCCGGCATCCGGTTTCTGGGTTCTGTTACCTGCGAGTGTCGGGACGTACGTGGGGACAGAACCGGCGGCAAATGAAAAAATGTGGTTCACTCAATACACTAAAATCTGATAGTATTACATTACTGTATCAAACCATTTCACATACATTTTGTCCTGTGCCCTGCCTGCATTTTTACTCCCCTTTAGGTCAAAAGCGGTTTTAGACCATCTAGAAAACAGCGATAGTAAATTAGAACCACTTGTAACATTGAGTGATAATGATTCGTGGGGAAATTCGTCATCAGACACTGAAAACAATTTTGCGACTAAGCTCAGTGATGTGCGAACTTGGCGCTATATTTAAAATTTCAGTGTTTTTTGGTTTGATTACATTATTGAATTCAATTTATTATTTTTTATGATTATTTTATAATTTATGATTTTTGTGTTTAAAATTTTATCATACCCAGGATGTTTACTAGACTCTTGTTCGGACAGATTTCAGTCAGTTTTTCCTAAGAATTACAGGCCTACAATAAAAAAAAACATTTCCATTGAAAACAATGTACCTTTGAGCACAGAACTACTGACATAACCAGACCGCCAGGGAGGTTAATATAGTAGTTACCTTTAAATGAATACATCTGTGTAAATGCAGCCTGCCCAGAGTATGGTAGTGTATGGAGCTGGTGGTACTTCACATGAGTGAGCTGGAAATATGGGCACATTTCACCCTGTTATTGTGGAGTCTTGCATGAGACAATTAACTCTTGTGCTCACACCCTTTATGAAGACATAGTCTACTGTTATCACTATTAGAAAGCCGGTGTAAAGCAATGATATGCAGACACTGGTAGAGCAAGTGGATGTGGACAAGAAATGGCTGGAGGAGATCGTAGTGCTGAGCTTTAAGACAAGAAGGAAAAAAAAGAGTGAAAACAGTATTTTATGCTTGAATTGCCAATAATATACTATTGTACTTATTATTTCAGCAAGTGCCACTCCGTTAAGTAAATATGTGCTTTATTGAAGCAAGATGCAGATTATATTAATGCGTTTAATTTTCATTAAGTGTCCCTGAATATGATGCATAGACTTCAGATGTATCTTTCTTTAAATAGAACACCCATAGTCTGCACTGCTTTTGTGTTCACAATAGAGATTGACAACATTTCATAAGGAAGCACTTAAAACATAAATCTATGTTAGTGATATACCTCTGTATACAATAATCACATTAAATAAAATTCTGTGACACTTCTTCAGAATGGGGAAGAAAGGGGATTTTAAGTGACTTTGAATATGGCATGGTTGTTGGTGCCAGACGTGCCTGTTGGAGTATTTTAAAAACTGCTTATCTACTGGGATTTTTACTCACAACCATCTCTAGGGTTTACAGATAATGGTCCGAAAAAAGGAATATCCAGTGAACGGCAGTTGTGTGGAAAATGCTTTGTTGCTGCCCTAGGAGAATGGGCAGACTTGTTACAACCAAGGTATGCAGAATACCATCTCTGAAGGCCCAATATGTCTAGTCTTGAAGTAGATGGGCTACAGCAGCAGAAGAACACACCGTGTAGCAAGGTGTTCCTAATAAAGAGGCTGGTGTGTGTATATTTATGTATATGTGTGTATGTACATGTGCACGCACACACACACACACGAAAAGGTATTCATACCCCTTGAAATTTGGAACATTTTGTCATGTTACAATCAAAAACGTAAATGTATTTTATTGGGATTTTATGTGACAGACCAACACAAAGTGGCACATAATTGTGAAGTGGAAGGAAACCGATATATGATTTTAGAAATTTTTTTAAAAATACAGTGAGGAACAGAAGTATTTGAACACCCCTGCGATTTTGCAAGTTCTCCCATTTAGAAAGCATGGAGGGGTCTGAAATTCACATTGTAGGTACATTCCCACTCTGAGAGACAGAATTTAAAAAAAAAATTTCAGGAAATCACGTATGATTTTTAAAGAATTTATTTGTCTTGCACTGCTGAACATAAGTATTTGAACACCTAAGAACAGCAAGAATTTTGGCTCTCAAAGACCTGTTACTGTGCCTTTTAAAAAGTCCACATCTACTCCACTCATTATTCTAACTTCGTAGCACCTGTCTGAGCACTTTAAAGACACCTGTCCACCCCACAGTCAGTCAGATGCCAACTACTACCATGGGCAAGACCAAAGAGCTGTCAAAAGACACCAGAGACAAAATTGTGGACCTCCACAAGGCTGGAAAGGGCTATGGGGCAATTGCCAAGCAGCTTGAACTACAAGGGAGGAGCTGGTCAATGACATGA